CCTGCTGTTCTGTGCCACCAAATTTGTGGTAACTTGTTGCAGAAACCCTAGGAAACTAATGCAGGTGCACATTTGGTACTAATTACTGGTTTTTAATTCCGTTACATGTTAGTCTATGTCTAGTCTGTGTTTATAGATCTTTTCTTTGAAGTATATTAAAGACTCAGTATCTGTCACTAAAACAAACAAAACACTTAACCTATTAATAGTTGGTTGTTACAAAATAGTGATGGGACTGTAAAGTACGACATAGGGAATGAAGTCAATAATACTGTAATTACTATGTATGGTGCCAGGTGGGTAGTTGAAATATTGGGGGTAGCACTTTGTAATGTATATTATTGTCTAACCACTATGCTGTCCACCTGAAACCCATGCAAAATAACATTGAATATAAACTGCAATTGAAAAATAAAATTTAAAAATTCAACCTTATATACTTAATATTCCCTTTATCTCATAAGGTTACTGTTTTGGCTTTATTTTCTCTATCCTAGATGTGGCTGGTGGTTATTCACCCTCCATACTTGATGCAATCAGAAGAGCAGTGATGGTTTCCAATACCCTTTCATTTACTAAGGTAAATGAGAGAAGCCTCACCCTCAAAGAGGTATTCAGACTAGCGACTCTCGGAGGCAGCCAAGGTAATAACCATTTTTTCCCTCTAACAATGTGCACCATGCCAATCTGTGTCCTCGGATGCACTATGAAGGTACATGCATCCAGTGTTCATGACGGTTGCCTCTCATATAGCATACCCCAAACTTAGCAAGTAAGTCCATGTTCAAGCATGTGGTGGAGGCATAATTCTTTCAGGATGCTCCCTTTCTTTGGCAGAAGAGATGAATAATACACAGTTACCATATTAATTGTTTTAATGGATTTATTTGCATTGGTCGCATGCATACAAGTTCTTTAAAATAATCAGTTTTTCCATTGAGTCGAGTAATATACTCTATTGCCCCGAGTGAAGATGATGATAATAATACTAATAGTAAAAATATGCCCAGCTGGCATGCCTCAGTGGTTGAGTGTTGACCTAAGAACCAAGAGCTCACAGTTCGATTCCCTGTCTGGGCACATGGGTTGTGGGCTCAATTCCCAGTATGGGGTTTGTGGGAGGCAGACAATCAATGATTCTCTCTCATCACTGATGTTTCTATCTCTTTCTCCCTCTTCTTTCCTCTCTGAAATCAATATAAATATACTTAAAAAATAAAAATAATAGCCAAGAGCTCTTACTATGTGCTGGCACTATGCAACATGCGTTATGTATGTTGTTATTTACCTCCAACCACTGTTCTTAATTCTATTTAATCAACAAGGTACCTGGTGGAAGCTTACACAGCTCTCAAGCTATACTGTGTCATGATTTGAATCCAAAATCTGCTGCCAGAGTGTAGGCTCTTATCCTTTCACTGTGATACCTTCCTGTGTAAATCCCAGCTTAGAGTATGCATTCTTTATGTAATTAAGTACAGTAATTACCCAAGTCTCTTTAAGTGGAGAGAGATGTTGAAATATAGTGGGTTGATATGCAAATATTGTTCACCAGCTTTTCCCAGTTCGCACATGTAACTATTTTAATGGGGGGAAAATAGAAATTAGTAATTGTATTGCTTTCAGTCACTTTAGCATTTTGGTGTATTCTAGATGAATGAGAGTGAACATAGCATGGAAACCTTAGGTAACTTGTGTGAGATAACAACATACATATCAAGACAAATATAGATAAACTAGAGGTCTGGTGCACGAATTCATGCAGAGGTGGGGTCCTGAGGGCGATGGGGGTGGGGGCAGGATGCGATTGGCCCTCCAGGCAGGTGGTGGGATGCCCTTGCCAGCCTGGGATCCGGATCCATCCCACTGACATTTGCACTGGTTGTCAGGAGCCACCTGGTAGCCACTTCTATATTGTTTCTTACTTGCGGAGCTTCTAGGGAGGGGAAGTTGCTGCAGTGCCCAAGGCCAGCTTCCAGGAGGCCAGTGGCACTGGTCTGTCGGTGCCTGGCCCATTCTCCAGAGATTGGACCTGCAGGACTACTGAAGGAGTGAGTGGCTGCCACTGGGCTGGTGGACCACTGGGATGGGTCCATCAGCTGAGTGGTGCTCCAGCTGTGGGAATACACTGACCACCAGGGGGCAGCTACTGTGTTGAGTGTTTGCCCCTTGGTGGTCAGTGTGCGTCATAGGTCATTCAGTCCTGAGGTCACTTAGGCTTTTATATATATAGATGTGTAGATTTATATATAGCTAATCTGGGTCTTAAAAATGGAGGAGGATGAAAACCAAAAATATCCTGTGAAGAGAAACTTCCTGGCTCTTCTTTGAATGCTCGGGGCTATGATGAATATCATCAAGAACCTTTCAAGACAACCAAGTAGAGGTCATGCTCCTTGCATTTCCAAGTCTTAGGATTTCATGTGAAGCTCCATGTTCTAAGTCACCATTCTTTTAACAAGTGTAGCGCTCCTCACCCCCACCCTCACTGTGTTTGTGCATCTGAGTTCAAGCAGTTGGCCAACCATCTTATTTTCATGGTGCAAATGAGTTGTATTTAAATTGTGCCTTCTTTTTTTCTTCTAGGCTCTCTGTGAGTTGCTTCATCAAGATTTTTTCTGTCTGATCAAGCCGGCCTAGGGTGCTTACCAACTCATTTCTGCCTTGCTGTATAGCTTCCAAATCCATTTTCTTGGCTGCAGGGCTTACTGTTATGGAATTTCTTCTCCTTAACTCATGTCTCTACAAGAGTCAGAGTGAAATGAGATTAATGGATTTCTATTTAAAGTGTGTCATCTTCCTGGCTTGCCACGACCTTTATATTCAAGATGTTGCATAAATCCCCTTCCCAGAGCCAACATTCACTCTAAAGGCAGTAAAACTGTATTTCCTGAAATGCATTTAAGGTGTTTACCAACCCAACTGGGCTGTACTGCAATGATGTTAACTAGGTCCATTTACAAATTCACCAAAAGCAATTATGTCTTCTTTGGTTAGTTCATGCCTGAACTCTCCAGGTTCGAATAAATAGTTCAATTAGTTTTTATATATTATCAAACTCTGACAAATGAACCTGGTTATCTGGTCTATTAAACACACAAGTTTATGTTGAATACTGTTATTAAAAACATATTTGTCATGTTTCTTTGTCAAGGGTAAATGGGTGAAGGAGGAGAGAATTTCCAGTGATTTTTTTTTCTATAACATTCAGTCCTTCTACACACTATTAGTAGAAGTCACCAACTGCTTTTAACATTTCTAATTATTTTTGCTCCCCGGTCTTCCTATAAGAATTTTTAGCTAAAAAAATCTTTCTTTTCTGAGAATAAAAGAGGTGCCCTTTAAATAACCTTTTAAGAATAAGTAGGGTTTCTAAGTCAGTGATTAGCACATTGCCAATACATATTCATACATCCATCTATATATATAAAAGCCTAAGTGACCGTCAACTGGTACACTAAACAACCAGTCGTACTGGTCGCTATGATGAGCACTGACCACCAGGGGGCATATGCTCAACACAGGAGCTGCCCCTGATGGTCAGTGCACTCCCACAGCCCACCTCCCACAGTCCCTCCCTCCAGCCAGCCAGCCCCAATTGGCCCCAATCGCAGGCCAGGCTGAGGGACCCCACCCATGAACGAATTCATTCATTGGGCCTGTAGTAGAAATATAATCTAGTAGAAATATAATCTAGGTATTGTCTAACAGGGACATGCCATCCAATATTTTCACATTGGACCATATCCTGACAGTGAAAGAATAGAAAAAACACATGTAAGAATTTAAATAAAAGTGCTGCACTCCAGTTGACCCTCCCTTTATGCATGCTTCCACTTTGTACCTCAGTGTATACCTTTCTCAAATTACAGGCTTTCCTGAGCTCAAGATTCAATACCTTCATTGACCAGGAAAGTCAACTATTCCCATCTTGTGAAACTAAATCATGTTAGTGAAAGAGATGCTCTTTGTTGTCTAATACACATGGAACATGAATGCTAGCCATGAGGTGGATCAAATTAATAGACACATCAACCTATGCCCTATTTTAGAAAACCATTCTTCTCTGGCAACCAGAAAATCTTTGAGGTTGCAAAGAAATTGGTTTGCTTTTATTTTTTTTAATATATTTTTTTATTTTTTTTACAGAGAGGAAGGGAGAGGAATAGAGAGTTAGAAACATCGATGAGAGAGAAACATCAATCAGCTGCCTCCTGCGGGGTGTGCCCGCAACCAAGGTACATGGCCTTGACTGGAATCGAACCTGGGACCCTTCAGTCCGCAGGCCATCGCTCTATCCACTGAGCCAAACCATTCAGGGCTGGTTTGCTTTTAAAGGATTGGGGCTTTTAAGTCATGAGCATCTGTTTATTTTCAGAAGTGAATTTTTTCTCTTCCAAGGATTTAAACTAAGGAACTTATGATAGATATGCCTGCGTTGGCCAATGTGCAAAAGGATAATTATTTTTTATTTATTTGAGGTTTATTTCACTGCCATGAAAATAGACCTTGTCAGCTATTTCAGAAAACAAAAGGATCCAGAGGGCAAGGATAGGAGTGTTGTGGGGGAGACTAGGAGGCAAAAAGAAAAAAAGATATTTTGTCAGTTGCCATGTTTCTTGGAGGGATGAATGAAAGTCATAGACCAGCTGGACTATGAAGTGCACTGATAGAGCTGAAATAGACACTATCAGAATTATGATCATGGTGATGAAGGGAAGTGTTTTTATTCTCAGATTTGCTTTCCCCGTGCTTACTCTGATTTCTGTAAGTCTAAGTCTTGTGACCTCTTGGAATGAGAGAGTTTTTACGCTTCACTATTTAGATACTAATTCTTTTTTTCTTTTTTTATGTACTTTTAAAAAATTTTAATTTTTACTTCTTGTTGTGTACTTTCTTAATACATTGGAAGTTTCATTTATGCAAGATTAATAATATGAATTAGGAAAACGTATGTTGGTTTTTTTTACTAATTCTTTTTCTAGTGACATGTTTGGCTGACTTTGTCCTTGCAAACTGGGACATTGACATGGTCTGATGGCTCAAAATACTAACTGTTTATTAATTTATTCCACCTGTAGCCCTGGGGCTTGACAAAGAAATTGGAAACTTTGAAGTGGGCAAGGAATTTGATGCCCTCTTGATCAACCCCAAAGCATCTGATTCTCCCATTGACCTGTTTTCTGGGGATTTTGTTGGTGACGTAAGTAAAAAAAAAAAAAGTTAATCAAAAGGCATCTATTTCCTGAAGTAATCACTGAAGCGTCCTTGTAGAAAACAAAATAGAAACAATCATTTTGATGGAATACAAGAGACTCTTAAGAGGGAAGCTAGATTTTTATAAGTTGACATAATTTCATGACAATAATGTTAGCAATAATGGTACTAATAGGATATTTGTATTTTGAATATATTTGTATATTTTAATGGTTTGGGCTATAAGGAGCCGTAATATAGCTTGCACTTACTGAATACACTTGCTGGGTGCTAGATGGTATAGCCTTAAGCACTTGCATACGGAATTTTGTTTAATGATCAAAACAACTCTTATGAGAGGCAGATACTATTTATATTGCCATGTAATCTGTGGGGCAGTGAGGCTTAGGGAGGTTAAGTGATTTACCTAAGGATTCATGGCTAGTAATTAGTAATTAGTAATCAATAATTAGTAGATAGAGTTGGGATTCAAGCCCAGGGCTTCATGACTTCCAGAGTCTGGGTGATTGACCACAATGCTACACTGATTTTCTTAATTATAAGAAAATGAGTTTTATTACTTTGTTCCTTTTATTATGAAGTGTTTCCCTATATAGAAAATAAACTGGTTCTTCTTACTTTAATAACAATTAGTTATAAAATATTGAGTTTTTCTGAAAACATTACCATTTATAAATTGATCCACTTATAAAAGTAAATTTGTAAATATAACATAGTGGGGGTTTTTAGAAGAAAGATGCTGGTTGTTATTTTTATATTATTTATTCTTTTGCTCCTTTATTAGAATGGATTTCTTGGAATAAGGCTCAGCCCTATTCATTCAATCATTTTTCTTACATACATTTCTGAAAATATTTGCATTATTTCATTAATTAATTTATGTAGCACTTTTGTTCAAAAGTTTCCAAGGTTTTATATACCAAGAACTTTCAGGCAATAGATAAACATTTGTTAATAGTCACTATTTTTTTTAAGCAAAAGACCACTTCTTTTTCATTAATAAAAGTAGATTTTACCATTGAGAAATGAATTTCTATTTCTGGGTTTTGCCAACCCACTACTGACTGTGAATTTTTCTAAATGCACAAAAATAATTATTTCTTATTATTACCTTTATTTTCCATTTTAGGCTTTTATCCAGAAGTTTCTCTACCTAGGTAAGTAGAAATATATCTCTATGCTAAATAAAATCTTTCTTTGTCTCTATCTTGGGTATGACTCTGCATTTATGATACCACATGTAAAACCCTATGTGTGATCATTTGCTTTGGTTTTTTAAAAACATTTCTCAGCATGTAGTCCATTTGTGGCACAATATTTAAAGACACAATGTGAAATTGGCATGCTCCTCTAGAACAGACAGTCATAAATCCTAATCTGAGGAGTGGCAGGCCCAGGGGATGGCTAATCATGCCTCTTCCCCCTACACTCATTCTCTACCCCCAGAGGCTGCCCTACCAGTCGTATTCACGGTAAGGATGTGGTGGAATCTTTTCACACATGCTTTTTCACATACTCACATTCCGTTGTATTCTCTGAGGGAGGGAAATAAATAATGTACAAGATTCTACTCTGCCGCCCACTCGGTTGAGTGTCCTCTGAGCCCTGAGTGAACTTGGGATGGGAGAGACACCTGTTGCGTTCCTTGTGGAGCTCAGTTCTCACAGGTCCTGCATCTCACCACGCTAAGTGTATTCTGGGGTGTAAAGCTAAGTACTTCCTTTACATTTGGGGCCATAAAGGCAAACCACTCACTTCAGCTGAAAGGACGGTGATAGGGGTCAATTCAGCTTTATGTGATTTCTGCCTCAGTGGCAGATTTCACACCCCAGTCCTCAATTTAGATGCAGCATCTTCTATTGGTCATGTCCCCCTGTCTATATTTTAAACAATCTGAGAGAAACAAAGGCCGTCTTTTTTATGTTCTCTTTTAGAAGTGTCTTTTGCTTTTAAATCTCTCCCAGGGGCAATTAAAATACTTATTTCAGAGGGGAGGAGGATGGAAAGAGATTAACCAAGAAACTTATATACATACATGCATAGCCCATGGACACAGACAATAGTGTGGTGAAGGCGTAGGGTGGGGCAGGTGCTGAGTGGAGGGAGAAAAGAAGGGGAAAATGGGGGATATCTTTAATATTCTCAACAAGAAAAAAATATATACAGGGTATCCCCAAAAATGTGTATATATTTTGAACAATTATATATTCCAGTGGATTAAATCTGAAAGGAAAGAAACCTCAATTGAGATCTCAGCTGTGCAAGTGTTGTATACATTTTGGGGGGACACTTTGTATATATCTTTAAAAATACTAATTGACACAAAACGGTTCCATGATTTTTTTCTTTCAGGAGATGACCGAAACATTGAGGAGGTTTATGTGGGCGGAAAGCAGGTGGTTCCCTTTTCGAGCTCAGTCTAAGATCCTCGGCGTCTCCAAGTTCTCCTGCATAGTGTGGTTCTGCGCCGCCTTATGCCCAGGCAGAGTTAGAACGTCAAAAAATAGTACCTTGTTCTTGGGATGACTGTCTCTTTGTATGCTTACTTACAGTGCTCACTTGACAAATCGGAGGAAGTTGCGCTAATTCTCAACTCTCTGGTTGGGAGGATTCCAAATGTATCCCTTCTGAGCTGTTCAGATGTACTTTAAGCTCAAATATAAGAGAATGTTCTGACTAGTGGTGTTCTTGTTATGAGATTTAAGTAAAATCTACCTAATATTTGGAAATGTGAAGAGGAAAGATATTCCTGTGAGGTTTGAGATTTTGAGCTAGTAAATGTGAAAATTGGATCTGGAAAATAAACCAGTGAATATATTTTTGAGGGAGAAAAAGACTACAAACATTGGAAAATCCTTTTTAGATTGCTCGACAGTTATATACAGAGCTTACTCATTTAAAAAGAGAACTCATTGAGATGTGAAACGTGTTTCTAGGCTGACTTTGTGTTCTGGAAATTTGCACTTAATGGGATTTGCATTTCAGAGACCTGTTATTGTTGTGCTTTGCCTTCTTTGGGGATGAATTGTCAGAAATTGAATGCCACGTGCTTTCTTCATATAGTTCTGTGCTTCAAAGTGTTTGACAGAAGTTGGGTAGTAAAGTTTTAAAGTCTCTTAGGAATAGTATTCGCATAACTGCGTGGCATAAATAGTTGTATTTTTGTGTCCTTGAAGTCACCTTAATGTGTAACTGGGTGATGCTGTCACTGCTTCAGTTTTATTAGAAGAGAAACAAATTCCACGCTCCGCTGTTGGGTAGACTGAAGTCTTCATAAATTGGGGACAAGTGCTGGGCACTCCCGCTGTCAATACTGAAAGGAAGGGTTTCATTGCCATGACCTCGTCTCCCCAAGGACTATGCCAGTGATGGCGAACCTATGACACGCGTGTCAGAGGTGACACAAGAACTCATTTTTGGGGTTGATTTTTCTTTGTTAAATGGCATTCAAATATATAACATAAATATCAAAAATATAAGTCTTTGTTTTACTATGGTTGCAAAGATCAAAAAATTTCTATATGTGACACGGCATCAGAGTTAAGTTAGGGCTTTTCAAAATGCTGACACGCCGAGCTCAAAAGGTTTGCCATCACTGGACTATGCCATAGTCGCTGGCAATTTCATACTCGGATCAATCTGTTAGAACTTTTAAATGAAGGCAAATCCTATTAAAAGAAATAGTAAAACTCTTTAAACCTTGCATATCGCAAGCACTCTATTTTCCAAATTTTATCCTATTGTAGTTTTAATTCCTAAGAATTTTAGGACATTGGAATTTTAGTATAATGAAAAATATGTAGACATCCCACATAATGTTTATATTAATAGGACATAATCTGTCCCAGACATCTAGGAAGATTAAGCAAAGCAAAGAGTATTTTTCTGCCTGCTAACTAATTAGTGTACTGTCCCATAACCTAGAATTAAAAGCAAATTATGACTATGATAAACCCTTTACAAGTATTGATGTGAATGCTATTTAAATACTATATTTTTCTCCTTTAATTTCAAATAATATAAACTAACAATGAAAAGGAGTAGGTTTTCTTAATATTTCATAGCACTTATTAATACCTTATAATAGAGAACTTTATGCTACAGAGCTAACTCCATATATAGAGAACTAAGGACAAAATTCTCCCTCTTGCATATAATTTTATTCTCATATAATCATTCTTATTCAGCAGTAATTTGCCCAGTTATTGTTGTTGTTTTTTCTTTGTGGAAGCACTTTTAGAGTTGACAAATATTTAGTTTGATTTTTTTCAATGACAGATTTTTTTTTTTTAGGATATTAAATAACTCAGTAAATCTAATTTCTAGTCTCAATAGCTGTATTTCCAGAATTCCTGCGCCATGTCAAAGATGGCCCACCAGACTTCTCCCCATTTCTCTGCAGTGCCGGCATGAGTTTTCTGCTCTATCTCTTAATCCGTGCCATAGGAACTCAATTACCTGGTGTTTGACCCACATGAGTGGGCTTAAGAATTTGGACGAGCTGTTCAAGATTCACGAACAGGCAGCGGCTGTCCCCAGCCTTTGCAAGATCCTATACTTTTACCTTCCTCAAGAGGGTACATTTTGAGGTTGAACATCAGTTTTCATTTAGATTTAGGATTCATATGCAGTAAGTATAAATAAGTGTAGTGTCAGAAGCAGGAAGAACGGCCATAGACAAGCACTTTGTCAAATGTTAAATTTAGCCCTGATAGTATGTTAAGACCTGAATATCTTGTCTAATAAATATAGAATGTCTTGAAATGTGACACGTGCTTTGATCTTCCTACACCGCTTAGAACTTGTGTGCTTTATCCTCAAAGTGCCGCGTTCCTGAATGGTGCGTATGCTCTTTGCAGTACTTCGGGCCTTAGCCATACATGGGCCCAGAAGCTCTGCACTTTGAAATGTGGCCTTTGCCTAATGTGGGTTGACTTGCTGAATTGTGGGGAGACAGTACCCCCAGCCAATTCTGTTTGTTGCTTTGTGTTTAAATATTTTGCTTTCTAACAGGAAAGAATTAACACTTCTAATCAGCCCCCCTCACTTCACCCTACACTCTTTTGCCTCAGTTTTTGTGGTGTTTTTAATGGAATACACGTTAAGAGGCCAAAACATTTCCAGTAGGATTGACTGCCATACATTTAAAAGAATATGTTTGCAATTAGAACACAAAAGCAGGCTAATCAGCTAAGATGAATTTAATTTTCAAAAGAGAGTGAGCCCTAACTGATTTGGCTCAGTGGATAGAGCATCGGCCTGCGGACTCAAGGGTCCCAGGTTCGATTCCGGCCAAGAGCATGTACCTTGGTTGCGGGCATATACCCAGTAGGGGGTGTGCAGGAGGCAGCTGATGGATGTTTCTCTCTCATTGATGTTTCTAACTCTCTATCCATTTCCCCTCCTCTCTGTAAAAAAATCATTAAAATATATCAAAAGAGAGTGAAACGTGGAGGAGGGCGCAAGAGGTTATCCTAGTCTTCGTGAACTGAGGCCGAGGAGGCCTGGCTCTCATTTATTCTCCCAGCTTTTTCTCTGATTCGGTTGTCAAAGGTTTGAGAATCTAGGAGGATATCTAGGAACAAGCTCCCTTCATGGCAGCAGGAGGTCTTTCTAAATTGATACCATGAGCATCAAACCCCATTGACTCTGTTTTACTGCCATGAGAGTTCTGCACAGTTAAGAAAGGAAGGCAGTAGGCAAACACTTTGCGGATGTTGAAGTGGGCCTTCAATATCCCTATTGGCAGCTAGAGCCGAGACGTCAGAGAGGAAACAAGGGGTGTGAGGTCCAGGAACGTATTTTGAATCTTCACTCCTTTCCAAATTCTTCCTATTTTGAATCGCTTCATCTCAGAAGCAGACATATGGAAAGCCTGAAGGGCAAGCTGGAAGGCACGCTGGATCCGGTCTATCTTCCACACAGAAGAGATGCAGCATCAAGTGCTTCTGTAGCCTATTGGACACTGTGCCATTGTTGTCCAAGTTTTAAAGCTGCTGATGAGGCCAGAAACGTGCACATGTTTAATAAGAGTGTTCCGAGTCGTGAAAAGGTGGACTAATAAATGTGGCATGTCCAAAGCCTTGACATAAGTTTTAAATGGTGTGCATCATTGTGAAAATTCTTTTCCCTGAAGGCTTACAGGAGACATGTGCAGTTTCCAATTGACCTAAGCCATTTTAGGTATGACTTTGAACCCTGACACACTTTAATGTCTCTATAGGAAAATCATGGAAAGAGGCGCACAAGTGAATAAACACTCTTAAGAAACCCTGGCATTGGTCCCCGTGCGTGTTTCCATGCCCAGGCCCTCCTCCCTTTTTCTCCCACAGCCCCGAGTGTGCGGGGGGAAGCACTGAGGGGTTAGTTCTGGTCCAGATTTAGTGAAATGCAAACCTGAACAGAGGAATGATGAAGCTACATATATATAAATCCCAAGGTGGCTTTCACCGTCCTTGGGGATCAAGAGACTGAGTACCGGTGTTATATGGCAGTAATTACCCGTCCATTTCCTCCTCAAAAGCCTGTCAGAAAGCGTTCTTTATTGAAAACCACTTCACATTGTTGTCAAACTCCTGATCGCTGCTCTGAAGAATAAATATCTATATGTATGTATTCATGGGGACGTTTTTCTCAAAATTTATGTGGTTTGCTTATTGTTTATGTGCAGGGTGAGCTCCTTTGTGCTTTAGAAAAAAATAAATGCGATTTTGTGTTTACATTATTTTCTTGTTGTGAGTTCTATCAATCTGATAGAAGGGGGTTAATCTTACAATGTTTTTCTCCTTTTAACATGAATTTTAAAAACCAGAATAGAATATTTAGCCTTGGGCCACCATATGTCTTCCAACCTATGATAATCACTATAGATAGCTTTTAAAAATTAAGGTCTAATGTTCAGCCCTTTAGAATCATAATGCTACTGCTTTTGATTTCAGCATAGTTAATATTTTATATGTGTTTTAAGCCTCAACCCAGAGCGAGAATGCTTTAACATCGAGAATTAGTTCACATGCCCTGGCCAGTGTTGCTTGGTGATTAGAGCATCGGTCAGTCTACCAAAGCGTCCAGGGGTTGATTCCTGGTCCTGGCTGGGACGTGTGCAGGAGGCAACCAATCAATGTGTCTCTCTCACATCTCCTCTCTCTCTTTCTCGGTTTCTCTCCCTCCCTTTCACTCTATCTTCTATGTAAAAATCAATGTAGAAATATCCTTGGGTGAGAATTAATAACAACAACAACAAAAAGAATTAGTTCACACATACATGTATATTTAAAACAAAAATCTCAAAAATAACAATTTTCCTATCTCTGATGGCCTGGGCTATTTTCTGAACTATTTTATTCTGTTCTGTCCTATTCTTTTATATTATATCTGCTTAATCATTTTTATTCTGTTTAATTATTTTTGGTTTCTTGAACCTGCGTGGAAACAGTTTCCAGTGTCCTTGAGCTTATGCACTCAGTCTCCGTGCCTCCATCCTGTGATCTGGGCATGACATGCATGCCTGCCTTAGAGACATGAGGGCCAAATAAGCGAATCCATTGCCAGCACTTAAGATAGCACCAGGACAAAGTGAGTGCTCACCACAGAGTAGTTATTCTTTAAATGAATACACACTGAACAGAAACAAAAATAATTTTAAATGTATTTTTATCAGTCTAGTTTTTAGAACCTTAATCAGGAGATGCTACAGATCGCTCTGTACATAAAAATATCCTTTAAGGATTAAATCTGATTTGGGGGCACTATTATGTTCATTATTTTTTATTTATAACATGGAGCATAAGAGAGTAGTAGGTTTGGTCTATAAATTCACCCTCAATGTTCTAAGCACTTACTAAGCACCTTTTTTTTCCCCTCCTAAAGAACAACTTAGTTAAAATACCCAGAAGAGAATCTTTATGTGCATTATCTTGCAAAGTGTGTGCCTCATTTGCATACTGTGGGCGCTGTGAGTTCTGTAATAGGTAATTAATAGATACATGCAAATTACTGCATGGTACTAAATCCAATATTTATATAAAATAAAGTTTAGACATAAAACAGGGCCAGTGGTAGGATATTTTAAGGCTCCATTGGAGAAACCACTCAGTTAAAGGCACAGGACCCACAAATAGTTGTCACCAACAAGAGCAAGGTTTTTTGTATTTTGTTTTTTCAAAATCTTATTTTAAAGCGGGATAAGTGAAGAATTGTCTGTTCTTTAACGTGATAGAACATTATTTTAACGTGTAATTATTTTTTTTTTCACTAAATTCATACTCATGTGCTTTTACCACCATCATGGTAAAATTACATTAAATTTGTCATACTTCCATATTTTTTCATGCTTCTATATTAGTTGAGTTTATATCTTAGGTAAGAAACAAGGTCACT